ATCCCAGCCCTGGCCAGTTTGGCTCAGCAGTTAGAGCATTGGCCCATGGACTGAAGGGCCATGGGTTTGATTCCTGGTCAAGGGCACATACCTGAGTAGCAGGTTCGATCCCTGACCTTGGATGGGTCATGCAGGAAGCAACCAATTGATGTGTCTCTCTCACATCAATGTTTCTCTCTCTCCCTCCCTCCCTCCCTCCCTTCCACTCTATCTAAAAATCAATTTAAAAAAATATCCTCAGGTGAGGATTAACAACAACAAAAAAGAATAAAATCAGTATCCAAAAAAGGGTAGCTTCTGGGTGGCAAAACTGGTTTCCTTCAGTAGACTGACACTGTGTAACCTGAGTTTTTGGAACTGGAGAGGAAGGTACCACAATTCCACCAATTTAAAGGTAGACATTTTCTATATATTTGTTGGTTCAATGCAACCACAAATATGCAAGTGGCTAAAATCCTTGGATTATTCCAGCTCCGGTATTTTAGTCTTTTGTTCGGCATAGTATTAATAATTCATTAGAGGGGAAGAATAAAGGAGCTTAATAAAGAATGGTGTTCCTTCTCTTTCTTATCTCAGTTCCTCCCTTTCTCATTTGTCTAAGCGATACCATTGTAAATTAACCCACTTATTAATTAACTGGGAAGGAGCAAAGGGAAAATAGACGCATGCCTAGTGAAGTCTGGGTGACACGGGGAAGGTATTCTCCTGTCAGTCACACCTGGGAACAGGTCGTTGGCCAGAGCAGGCGTGGCCACTGCAAGAGCAGGAAGATTTCAGATATTTGATCCTCTAAACACAGGAGTTTGCTCTTACACACTGGGCTCCTGGCTCTCTTGTTGCAGGGGGCGTGCCCCCCTGCATTCGCCCACATGGCTCATGGCCACGTGGACCCCACGCACAGTGGGCTGACGCACTGCGACTGGCCTGATGCTGGGCCAAAGCAGCTCCACCCTGGAAGGGCAGCTCTGGACACTGGCTTTGCTTCTAGCTCTGCTGAATCCCCAGCTGCACCTCTTCCAGGACTGGCTCAAGGGAAATGGGACTTTAGAAACACAGGGATGTAATTCCATGCAAATAAAAATCACTCATCCTCCCGGATGAGTCTCAGAAAATTCTTTTCTCAAGATGTTGTAATAACCCAACCCCCAGTACCCAGTGGGGAAAGGGATCCCCCACTTCCACCCCTGGATACCCTACTTCCACCAATAACATAAGCATCTCCTGCAACCCTGCCTCCTCTACATATAATTAGACAAACGTCAGCTTTCTCCTGGCTTTTCCATACTCATGTTGTAATTGACACAGTAACTTCCAGTCCTGACTGCCTCTCACCGCTGCATGCACGTTCAGTTGCAAAAATGGGTATGCATTTCCATCTGAACCAAAGCTTCTTGAAATATGCATGTTCATTCAACAAACCTTTTTATAATTAATTAATTTATTTATTTTATCCTCACCTGAGGGCACTTTTACATTTATCTTCAGACAGAGTGGGAGGGAGAGAGAGAGAGAGAGACAGAAACATCAGTGCAAGACAGAGACATCAACTGCCTGCCACCCACACGACCCCAACCGGGGCCGAGGACAAACCACAACCGAGGTACGTGCCCTTGGCTGGAACCGAACCCGGGACTGCCTGGTCCACAGGCCAACGCTCTAACCGCTGAGCCAAGCCAGCCAGGGCTCAATCAACAAACATTTATTGAGGACCACATATGTCAAGTACTGAGGGAAAAGCAAAGAATTAGATACGGATCTCACCATCAAGTAGCTTGAGGTTCTAGAGTGGAGACCATGTTTATGTACAGGAAGCAAAAATCATTCCCATTCAAGTGGAAGGTGGGGCGTGGAAGATCACTTAAACAGAAGTGCCCGTGAATGCTGGAGAGTTTGGACCAGAGCTCTGGAGGGCCTTCTAGAGGATTAGGGATTCGACGTGTGAAATTGAGGAGGAGAGGTGTCTGGAAAGCAGTGTTTTATTGAGAATTTCACTTTAGGGTATAAAGCAATTTTACTGCATTAAAAATATCGCCCCTTGTTCCAACGAACTATATCGAGACTTCTGTGTGCATAGCAACTTGCTGGGACTCTTTCTGTATTGAACAATCAAAAGATGAATCCTGGCCCAGCTGGTTTGGCTCAGTGGTTAGAGCGTCGGCCCGCGGACCAGAGAGTCCCGGGTTCGGTTCCCGCTAAGGGCACGCACCTCAGTTGCAATTTGTCCTCGACCTCAGTTGGGGTCGTGTGGGTGGCAACCACTTGATGTGTCTCTCTCCCATCGATGTTTCTCACTCTCTTCCTCCCTCTCTCCCTCCTACTCTACCTGAAGATAAATGCAAAAATGTCCTCGGGTGAGGATAAAAAATAAATAAATAAAAAGATGAATCCTCCTCCTCATCTTCTTTTTACTACTGGAGTTACTATTGCTTTTAGTAGGAAGCTTACTATTTTGACCTAAACCTGGCCTGGGGCACATTTTGTTTATTGCAGAAAGTTATCGTGAGTTTATTTCTTCAATGCAGCCTAAATGACATCAACAACAACTTGTCATTTTTACATCTTCAGTTTTTCAATAGAACAAATGGGCAAGGAGAAACCTTGAGAATAATTGGCAAGAATTAAACAAACAAACAAAACAACAAATGAAAAAATTTCTGTTTTCAAGTCAGAGAGAATGATCTCCTCCACAGCAAACTCAACCTTTAAATACAGCAAGCAGTGGTCGCTAAGCCATTAGCAAATTTTTGGCAAGACAAAATTCTGTTAGACTTCTTCAAGAATAATGTCCAAGGTGGGAATGCAGACTGGTGCAGCCACCATGGAAAACAATATGGTGTTACCTCAAAAAATTAAAAATTGAACTGCCATTTGACCCAGTGATCCCACTTCTAGGAATATACCCTACAAAGCCTGAAACACTAATCAGAATATATGTACCCCCATGTTCATAGCAGCACTATTTACAATAGCTAAGATCTGGAAACAGCCCAAGTGTCCATCAGTAGACAAATGGATAAAAAAGCAGTGGTACATATACACAATGGAGTACTATGAAGTACTATGCAGCTGTAAGAAAGAAAGATTTCTTATCCTTTGAGACGACATGAAGAGACCTGGAGAGTATTATCCTAAGCGAAACAAGCCAAGCAGAGAAAGACAAATATCACATGATCTCACTTAATTTGTGGAATATAATGAACATAACAGTCTGAGGATCAGGGTAGTTCCAGAGACGTGGAAGTGGGGTACAGACTGACTATCCCCAGAAGAGGGGGTGGGGGGGAGAGATCAACCACAGAACTTATATGCATGTGTGCATGAACAGTGGACATGGACAACAAAGCTGGGGACAGGGCGGAGAGGGTGGGGGAGGGGGTATCAGTGGGGGAAAAAGGAGAAACATCTGTAACAAAAATAAATTAATTAATTAAATTTTTTAAAAAGTTCCAAGCTTTTCAGATCTAAACAAATGGAAATAAATTGGACAGAAGTATTTCAACTGACAGATTAATAAGGCGGGGGGGGGGGGGGAATGGTCTTTAGCGTTGGTGCTTGATTTTTTAGTCTCTTGAACTCCCAGGTATATTTAAGGCAATTTCTCCTCATTGAGTCATAAAGGTATGTAGTCAGTGTGAGGAGTTTGTGTCAGGAGAATTTGGCCAGAATTGGCCAGGGGATTGATTTTTGTCAGTATGATTGAATTTTACATTGTAATTCTGATATGTGTCAGAATGAGACTGAAATTTACTCAAAAAATAATTGTAATATAGTTCTATTTCTGTTTCTCTAGTTCTTTAATGAAAACAAAACAAAACAGTCCAACCACTGTGGCTCAGTGGTTGAGCGTTGACCCATGCACCAAGAGGTCCCCAGTTCGATTCCCGGTCAGGGCACATGCCCAGGTTGTGGGCCCGATCCCCAGTGGGGGGCATGCAGGAGGCGGCCAGTTGATGTTCTCTCTCATTGATGTTTCTATCTTTCTCTCCCTCTCCCTTCCTCTCTCTAAAACCAATAAAGGAAAAAAAAATTAAAACAAAACAGTGTATCAGAGGTCTGGATTTAAGATCCAAGGTCACAGCCTACCTATCACGTTCTAATACCTACCTTGTCTTTTCAAGTAGAACCTTGCAAAATGCCATTGATATTGATGGAAATGTCTTCATGCATAATTGGTTGTCATGCAACAATAGAGTATCTATAAAGTAGTATTCTTTTTTCAAAGAAGTACCTCTGTGAAAAGAAGGCATCATGAGAGATCTGGAAAGTGTATTTAAGAACAGTTTGAATACAATACTGAAAATTATTGGTTGTCAATGATGAGAGGGGAATAAAAAGTGCAGAGAATGTCAGGGGTAATTAACGCAAGTGATGATAGTGTTTGAAGTCTTGCTGAAGGTGTGTGGGTATGTATGAGCATATGTGTTTGCTGGGTTTTGCTCGAAATCCTCTTTACGCATGCGTCAACAGTTATTGTTCACATCTCTAGGAGTATGAAAAGAATTTTTCACATTCTCTATGAGAATGGAGCTTTCGCCATAGATGTTGGTTTATAAAAACTAGGGTGTTTCAACAAAAGAAAAATATTTGATTCTTTTGTATAATTTAACCTTAAATCATTTAGATAGCCAAGAACAGGCATTAATAAAATAAGATCTCTTTGAACCTTAGTTTCTCTTTAATCTTCAAATTAGATTTTAAAGAATGAAATATTAGGAATTCCATCAATAAATTTAAATAGAAATAGATTCATTTGAACTAATGGCTGAATAAAATGGTGACATTCTCATATTAAACCTGATGATTTGGTATATTATATTACACATTTTCTCTTATTTCATGGAGAGTAGAATTTTTATGAGCAGTATTTCAGAAAAATGTGAGTTGACTTCATAGAACTCTTTTCCACATTAAGAAAAAAAAATAACCGATACTGTTTTCTTTTAGTCTTTTTCTGCACTACCTGGTAAAATATTCTAAAGCATTTGCATATTCTTCTTCAGTTTCAGCTCAAATTCTCAAGAGCAATCTTGCAGCGATGGAACAGCAAATTCTTCATCTGGAACGTGACATCGAGAAATTTCCCCAAATGGAAAATCAACACGATAAGTTCGTGGAAAAGATGACGATATCCTTTATTGAAGCATTTTGTTTATTTGTTAGTTTATGTCTGTACGCGTGTGTGTGTGTCTGCCTGTCTGTGTGTCTGCCTGTCTGTGTGTCTGCCTGTATATTTACTATCCGGTTAGTTCTAAACTTAGTCTGTTCACACTGTCTGGATGAATTTGTGTATAGGCGGTTTTTATATTAGCAGTATAAATTTTAGTTCATAGTGTTTTGAACCAGGTAGAGTAGCCAAGGGAACAATTATGTGAGAAAACAGTGCCATTTCTCAAAGAAGAATTTCATTTGAAGGCCACAAGATGCAAGGTAAGTCTTATGAGGCTTGATTAGTCCTAAAACAAAACAGAGACTCTCCTTTTATAACCATTTGGTTAAAGGAAATGATCAACAGGAGAAAATTAGTTTTCGTCAGGACTTTTTGATGTTTCTTTCTTATGTGCGCGCGTCTTTTTCTGAGAACACACATACATTTTCAAGGGCAATCGGAGGGTGACTAATATCCGTAGACTAAAAGGATTGCGAAGGATAAAATGGATGCGTGGATGGACGAATAGATGGATTGATCAGGAGGTTATATATTTAAATAGATTATAGTAGCTATCTATGAACCATTAAGCATTTCCTGATAAAGAAATGGTTTTAAACTTCCATTTTACATATGGTATATTCATCGAAATTACAGGAATAAATGAAAGGAGAACTTGAGAAATAGCATTTAGCCTGAATTGTTTAATGTTAAATCTGGTGTCTAAAGATAAACTACATTAGAGCTGTTTTTTATTTTGTTTTTTTTTCTCTTTGGGTTTTCAGAAGTTAAAGCCATATCCTCCTACTCGGGGTTTAAGTACATATCTTGAACTGCAGATTGATTCACTAGTTTATATCTCAAGAGGGAATAAATACTGTAAATTCTTTATCTGATAATAAGGAAATTCCTTCAGCAACTATATGGCAGTCACCCTGTTTCAAGGTTAAATCTCTTGCTTTTTTCTGCTCTGATATGCTCTCTTTCCTTCCCAATTTGTAAGTTCCAGTACTGAACGTGAATGACTTGGGAATGGCAGTTGAGATTTACGTGAAAAAAAATTGTCTTTCATTCTCGGTTTTATGGTTCATGTATGAAAGCTGTGTTTTGTGTGGTTCTTTAGTGATGCGGAGTCCATGCATAAATAGGGATATTGTAAACAAGTTGTGGGTGATTGGAGGCAGGAAATCCTCACCAATAATCTTGGATTACGTAACTGCCCGTGTTGGGATCCATAATGTGAAGCTTTAACTTCAGTGCTGATTAGATGATTCTGGCAAATATGTTCCGTTGTCCTGTGGCTGAATACACCACCTCCATTTTCAACTTTTGAGTTTGGTTCTTGCATCAGATATTTCCATTTTATTCCTGATCCCCTTGTTCTTTTCAACAGTTCCTTCTACACTTGGCTTGTGGCCAAAGAACAGCGTGCACCATTGAGGAGTCTTTGTTGCTCATTTAGAAAAAGAAAAGTAATTTCAAACCCTCATGAACTTGGCCTGGGCTCTTTATTTTATTTCTCTCTTTATGCAGGTAATTAAGTTCTTTAAAATGAAAATCCAGAGCCTTCTGTATCTGTATGTTACAGATGAATGGTTATTCTTCATTTAAGGGGCACTAAAGTGTGACTATTTGTCTACAAGGGGATTGAAAATGATATTAAAATGTATGGGGCTGTAACTTCGCATATCGTATTAAAAAAAAACAAATAAAATATAGAGCAATTTATTTTAGAGAAAAAATTAGAAAAATTGAGTTGAGTTGGTTAAAAACTCCAAATTAATGAATTACAATGATAGAACTATTACTCAAATTATTCTTTTTTGGGAAAACTCCATGGTCTACCACTGAGAGCTTTGGACTTCTGGAAAATGACAAACAAAATGCATAATCATCATATGTATGAATGTTGGATAAATTCTGGTGCCCACTTAATATTTTTCTGCTGTTCTGGCAGATTTCAAACAGAAGGATATTTTAATTTTTTTTTTCTTTATCGATTTTAGAGAGAGAGGAAGTGAGAGGGAGAGAGAGACAGAAACATTGATGAGAGAGAACATCGACTGGCCGCCTCCTGCACGCCCCCCACTGGGGATCGGGCCCACAACCTGGGCATGTGCCCTGACCAGGAATTGAACCGGCGACCTCTTGGTGCGTGGGTTGATGCTCAACCACTGAGCCACACCAGCTGGGCTGGAAGGATATTTTATTGTGGGATATTTGATTCTGTTTTATTTTTTTTTAATTTTTTTTATCATCCTCACCCGAGGACATTTTTCCATTTTTTGTTCAGGTAGAGTGGGAGGGAGAGAGAGGAAGAGAGAGAGAGAGAAACATCGATGTGAAAGGGACACATCGAGTGGTCGCCACCCGCACAACCAACCAGGGCCGGGGACAAACTGCAACCAAGGTACATGCCCTTAGCGGGAACCGAACCCGGGTCTCTCCGGACCACAGGCTGATGCTCTAACCGCTGAGCCAAACCAGCCAGGGCTATTTGATTCTGTTTTAAAATCAGGGCCCTGATTCTCTTTCTAGTACAGGATTCTTTGTCCTGGATGATCTCCCCATTGTTTCTGTCCACTGCCAATACATTGCGAGGATTCAGGTCACCGACCCTTTACGTTGAAAAACTACAAGCACAAGTATGGGAGTAGTTTCCCTTGAAAGTAACCTTACCGACTTAAGCAGTCATCTCGTTATAAGCACCGTGAGTTCAAAAACTGGATAACACTGCCACGCCTCTGGGCTTTTAGAAAAACATCAGTGCTATAGTTAGCAACAGTGCGCAATGACCAGGGCACATACAGGGTGAATATACAGATTGGATGTTCACCAAACCTCCAGGTAGGGCGAAAGTCCCATCGCCAGCCAGCTATGTTCACCCTTACTCTTTCAACAGTATTCATTAAACACTTATAATATGCTAGGCATTGCCAGGCCATGAAAATACAACATTGCACAATATAGAAAACTTGACCTCTGCCTGCAGACAGGCAGGCATCTTGCTGTCCTCACGGCCGAGATCACGTCTGATGGACTAATTTCTCTATGCCTCGCACAATGTGCAGCGCCTAATAACATGTAGATGCTGCGTAAGTTGTGTTGAGTCACAGAATATTAGGGCCAGAGACAATGGAGATGACCTTGTCCAATCTCTGACTTTTACTTAGTACTTCAAAAAGGGATATTGTTAAACAGTAGTAGGTTGTGCTTGCAGTTACCAAATTTGTCTTCATATAAATCTTCTGAGGTACTTGAGTAACACTGAGTCCCTGTTTTCGAGCATGCGTGTAAAGTGGAATGAGTTTTAGAAGGGGTAATCCACACCTTTATAAAGTCAATGTCAAAAAAATGGAACAACAAGAGAACGAAACCTTTCCTGTGAATGGCGGGGCCTGGGCTATTTCCTGCCTCCTGAAGAATAGCCAGTGGCGCCCTGGCCGGTTTGGCTCAGCGGTTGGAGCATCAGCCTGTGGACCAGAGAGTCCTGGGTTCGGTTCCCGCTAGGGGCACGTACCAAAAAGAAAAAAAAAGAATAGCCAGTGGCTTTACTTACAGATGTTTCTCCTTTTTCCCCCCAGACACCCTCCTCCTCCCTATCCCCTCCCTCCCCCAGTGGCTTTAGAAGGAAGCTGCTCGCCTCTGTCTCCCTTTCTCTACCCCCAAGTTGGTTGCTTATTCTGAATGTGGGGGAGGAAGAAATTTTCCTCTACCCATCTAGGTTCTCCCAGCTGATCTGATAAATAAATGGACATGTAATAGATTAACAAGAGAAAAATAACCAAATTTAATTTCATATGTACATATGGGAACCCCACATACTTGAGAGGTTTCGAGACAGAAAGAGGAATGAGGTCTGTATGGCATCTAGAGCCAAGGAGTGAGGAGACATGGCCCAGGGCTTCAGAGGGGAGGACCGTCCTTCATAGAATGATGAGAAGGGAGACATGTAGTAATTAGAAATTTGCCTTGCCCTATATATATATATATAGGTCAGAAAAAGTTGTCTCTGGTAATAACTCTTATTATTGTACAACCCCCAATTTAAATTCTTTAAGGGAAAGATAGGTTTCTCATGAGTCCACAGGCTCTTGATTGCTTTCAGTTCAAAATAATCAACACGCCAAAGTGGCACATCGTGGGGAGGCCTGTTCTGAGCCGCTGAATGACTCCAAATATAGATGGAAAGAGTAAAATAGGCAAAACTAATTGTATAAGACTACAAAACATGGAGAAATGGGGAAAATTCTCTTATACTTCATTCTAGGATTGAAGGGAATAGTCTATCATGGTTTCCTGATTTAAAAAAAAAGAAAAAAAGCGAAGTTCTTAAGTATTCATGCTAATATGCTCATCGTAATAGCATTGGAAGTTTTTAGCTCAACTGCTTGTATGGTAGATTGAAATAGAATCTGTGTACTTTTTTAGTAAGTTATAAAAATTATAATATTCACTGTCATTTATTAAATGTTTATACTATGTATCAGACATTGCCTATATTTTATACACTTGACCTTTTAAAAATCTTTCTGTTGCCCTGTCCGGTTTGGTTCAGCGGTTAGAGCGTCGGCCTGCGGTCTGGAGAGACCCGGGTTCAGTTCCCGCTAAGGGCACGTACCTCGGTTGTGGTTTGTCCCCGGCCCTGGTTGCTTGTGTGGTGGCGACCACTCGATGTGTCCCTTTCACATCGATGTTTCCCTCTCTCTCCCTCCCACTCTTCCTGAACGAAAAATGGAAAAATGTCCTCGGATAAGGATGATAAAAAAAAAAAAAAATCTTTCTGTTTATTATTTTCCATGTCTGATGATAAAATTGACCACAGTTGTCTCTGTGTCATTGTAGTGAGCTCAAGTCAGGTCAGGATAACTTCAGCAACTCAAAGTTATTTGCCATAGCCCCTTTGTTTTGGTTTTGTTAAATTTTTTTTTCTTTATTTTAGAGAGGGAGGAAGGGAGAGGGAGAGAGATAGAAACATC